CGTCCCACGTGCTGATATTCCAAGACCGAAGAGCTTCGGAGGTTCACGGAATGCGAGGGAGTTAGAGAACTTCCTTTGGAGTCTTGAGCAGTACTTCAAGGCGTCCGGCATCCAAGAGGATGAGGTAAAGATTCGTACCGCTCCACTTTACTTGGTTGATGTTGCCATGGTGTGGTGGAGGCGACGTGAAGCGGACGTCGAGAAAGGTACTTGTGTGATGGTAACGTGGGAAGATTTCAAGAGAGAAATCAAGAAGCAGTTCTACCCAGAGAACGTGGAGTTTGAAGCCCGTTCGAAGTTGAGAAGACTCACCCAGAGGGGTGGAGTTCGAGAATACGTGAAAGAATTCTCGGAGCTGCTTCTAGAGATCCCGGACATCACGGATAAGGAGGCCATGCACGGCTTCCTTGATGGGCTGCAACCATGGGCCAAGATGGAGATGCAACGTCGAGGAGTGCAAGACCTTGCAACTGACATGGCCACGGCAGAGTCTTTTGTCGAGTACAAACGACAAGAGAGCAGCGGCAGAGATAAGAGTTCGAAGCCCAACAAAGGTGGAGAACAGCAGAAGCCTTTCAAGGAGGGTTCTCGCACTCAACAACACCAAGGTGGTTCGAGCAAAGGGGGTAAGTACGAGCCAAAACCCATGACTTGTTTCCTTTGCGACGGACCACATCGAGTGCGAGATTGCCCAAGAAAGGCGAGATTAGCAGCCATGGAAGCTCAAGATGAGGAGCCCAAGGCGGCGGAGGCCAAGATTGGCTCAATCCGCAAGCTTGGCGCGGTGAAGACCGACGTCAAGGAGAGCAAGCGGGGGAGGTGCTATGTTCTGGCGCAATTCATGCAAGGCGAGTCAAAAGCCTTGGTGGATACCGGTGCCACGGACAACTTTCTTCGCGTCGAGGAGGCAAACCGGCTGGGTATTGCCTACGAGAAGGGGCAAGGGAGGCTCAAGACGATCAATTCGGAGTCCATCCCGATCCATGGAGTTGCTCACAACGTACCAATGAAGCTTGGCGAGTGGGAAGGCCTCGTCGACTTTTCCGTCGTCACCATGGACGATCACCCAGTCATCCTCGGCATCCACTTCCTCGACAAGGAGGGAGTGCTTTTGAAGCCCAACTCCAACACGATGTGCTTGGAGAAGGAAGGGGAGTTCCATTCGGTTCATCTCTTGAGAGAAGATGGTCCCCATAGTGCTCTATCGGCCATGCAAGTGGTGAAGGGGTTCAAGAAGAATGAACCAACCTTTCTTGTGTCCTTGAAAGTGGAGGAAGAAGGAGGCTCAACGGGAATCACAACTCCCATCATCGATGGTGTCCTCGAAGAGTTCGATGATGTGATGCCATCGGAGTTGCCCAAGAAGCTGCCACCAAGAAGAGAGGTGGACCACAAGATCGAGTTGGAGCCAGGAGCGAAGCCCCCTTCGCGAGCACCATACCGCATGTCGCCACCGGAGTTAGAAGAATTGCGGAGGCAACTCAAGGACTTGGTGGACGCAGGCTACATGCGGCCATCGAAGTCACCTTTTGGGGCACCGGTGCTGTTCCAAAAGAAGAAGGAAGGGTCGTTGCGGATGTGCATCGACTATAGAGCCATCAACAAGTTGACGGTGAAGAACAAGTGGCCGATTCCCAACATTGCCGACTTGTTCGACCAGCTTGGAGATGCAATGTGGTTCACCAAGCTAGATCTTCGCTCGGGCTACTATCAAGTGCGGATAGCAGAGGGCGACGAGCCAAAGACGGCTTGTGTGACGAGGTATGGCTCTTACGAGTTTCTTGTGATGCCATTCGGTCTCACCAACGCACCAGCCACGTTTTGCACTTTGATGAATCAAGTGTTCGAGCCATTCTTGGACCGGTTTGTCGTGGTCTACTTGGATGACATCGTCGTGTATAGCAAAACACTCGATGAGCATGCCAAGCATCTTCGCCAAGTCTTCCAAGTCCTTCGCGACAACGAGTTGTACGTCAAGAGGGAGAAGTGCACATTTGCCGCCACGGAGGTTCCATTCTTGGGGCACGTCATTGGTGGAGGCAAGTTGAAGATGGATGGAGCGAAGGTGCAGGCAATCCAAGAATGGGAGCCGCCGACGAAGGTGCCAGAGTTGCGGTCATTCCTCGGCCTTGCCAACTACTATCGGAGGTTTATCAAGGGCTACTCCAACATTGCAGCACCCTTGACGGATCTCTTGAAGAAGAACAAGGCGTGGGATTGGGCGGAAAGGTGCCAAGAAGCGTTCGAGGCCTTGAAAGCAGCGGTGATGAAGGAGCCCGTGCTCGTGCTCCCCAACCCGACGTTGGCCGACGAAGTGCAGACCGATGCATCCGACTTTGCAATCGGGGGCGTGTTGATGCAAGATGGGCATCCCATTGCCTTCGAGAGTCGGAAGCTCAGCGAGACGGAGAGGCGATACACCGTTCAAGAGAAGGAGATGACGGCCGTGGTGCATTGCTTGCGCACATGGAGGCACTACTTGTTGGGGTCAAAGTTCGTAGTGAAGACGGACAACGTGGCAACGAGCTACTTTCTGACGCAGAAGAAGCTCACCCCTAAGCAAGCAAGGTGGCAAGACTTTTTGGCCGAGTTCGACTTCGTTATGGAGTACAATCCAGGCAAGGCGAATTCCGTTGCCGATGCTCTTAGCCGGAAGAGTGCAGCCGCAAGCATCAGCCAGCCCACGTTTCCTTTGAAGGAGCGGATCGTTGAAGGCCTTGGCCATGACCCCTTCGCCAAAACCGTAGCGGAGTACATTGAGCAAGGTAAAACTCGACGGTTTTGGATGAAGGATGGGCTCATCATGACCAAGGGAGAGCGGATGTTCGTGCCAAGATGGGCCAACTTGAGGAAGGAGATCATGAAGGAGTGCCATGATTCCAAGTGGGCGGGCCATCCCGGCATCGAGAGAACGCAAGCGCTCATCGAAGAAGCATATTTCTGGCCGCGTATGAGAGACGACGTGGAGATGTATGTGAAGACTTGTCTTGTGTGCCAACAAGACAAGATGGAGCAGAGAAGCCCGGCAGGCTTGCTAGAGCCCTTGCCCACGCCTCAACGACCATGGGAGAGTGTGAGCATGGACTTCATCATCGGACTTCCCAAAGTCGATGGATGCGGTTGCATCATGGTTGTGGTGGACAGATTCTCGAAGTATGGAGTGTTCATTCCTGGGCCAAAAGACTTAACGGCGGAGGATGCGGCATGACTATTCTTCAAGAACGTGGTCAAGTATTGGGGCATTCCTAGCAGCATTGTGAGCGACAGAGATGGGCGATTCACGGGCAGATTTTGGCGAGAGTTGTTCAAGATCATGGGCTCAAACTTGAACTTCTCGACGGCATTTCATCCTCAAAGCGACGGACAGACGGAGCGGGTGAATGCCTTGTTGGAAGTGTACTTGCGGCACTACGTGAGTGCAAACCAACGAGATTGGGTGAAGTTGATGGACACGGCACAGTTCTCCTACAACTTACACCGCAGCGAGTCGACCAACACAAGTCCATTCGAGTTGGCGACGGGGCAGCAACCTTTGACACCTACGACGGTGGCAACGGGGTATAGAGGCAACAGTCCGGCGGCCTACAAGTTCGCTAAAGGTTGGCACGAGAAGATGGAGATGGCCAAGTCTTACTTAGCCCGCGCTAGTAAGAAAATGAAGAAATGGGCGGACAAGAAGCGACGGCACTTGGAGTTTGAAGAGGGAGACATGGTGATGGTCAAGTTCTACCCTCATCGCTTCAAGCATCTCAAGAACGTGCACAAGGGACTGCTTCGCCGCTACGAAGGGCCATTCCCCATCGTGAAGAGGATTGGCAATGTGGTATACAAGGTAGAGCTGCCGACGCACTTGGAGATCCATCCGGTCTTTCATGTGAGCCAACTCAAACCTTACCACGAAGACAAGGAGGACGAGCAGCGAAGGGAGCCGCAGCGCGCACCAACACTCGTCACCAAGACACACGACCATGAAGTCGAAGAAGTCATGGCGCGTCGTGTCATTCCTCGTCGTGGCGTACATCCAAGCTTTGTGGAGTACTTAGTCAAGTGGCGCAACCTTCCGGAGAGTGAAGCAACATGGGAGAAAGAGCTCACGCTTTGGAAGAACAAGGACTTGATCGAGGCATTCCATCAAGAGGACGCGACGAGGGCGTCGCGAGCATAGGTGGGCGAGGATGTCACATGTGGCAAATGACATGGCGCCAACAAGGTGACAACATGGCAGCAGCACATGTGGCATGCATGGAAGACTAGTAGCATAGAGATGCTCCTAGGATTCTCCACCTAAATGAGAGCTTAATGGTGCACTTATGGGCTACATTATGGGTAGCATTATTAGAGTGCATTATGGGGGGACTTTATGGGGTGTATTGATGTAGAGGGACCATTATGAGGGGGCATTGATGCCTTGTATGTGGAGAGGCCTATATAAGGAGCCATCTCCCTCACTTGTAACTCATTCCATCATTTTTGAGAGTAATACACACTAGAGAGTTCTCCCACTTCCTTTGTCTTTGTTCTTGTTCTTTGCTTTCAAGTGAGTTGAGAGAAAGGCTGCCTAGCGCTCTAACGGAATTGAGAGCTAGGGCCGCACGATCGAGAGTAGGGTCGTGACAGTACCCATGAACCCGCGGATACTCAGCGGGTTGGGTTGGTTTGAGTTTTTCAAACCCAGCGGGTTTTACCCGGGTTTTTTGGCAGATAAACTCATGGGTTTGGGTTTGACAAAGCCCGTCCCAACCCGACCCATTGCCATCTCTAACTGCAATACCGCCACCAACAAAAATCAGATCTCAAATCAGATACCTCCGCCACGTCCCCAGTCTACCCCTTTCCCCATTCCATCTTCTTCTTCTTCCCCAACCTCCCACCTTCAACCTGGTATCCTAGCAAGTGGAGAGCTCCGACCAAAAATCGAACCACGCCATGGCTTTCCCGCCCACCCACTCCACCGAATCGCCGTCGGTAGCTTCAGGCGGCATCCTCACCTCCTCCGACAACTACCTCCACCTCTGGGAACTCCGCGACGACGGCCCCGTCGAACTCATATCCGTCCTCAACAACAGCAAGACCAACGAGTTCTGTACTCCCCTAACATCCTTCGATTGAAACGAGATCGAGCCCAATTGAATCGACACTTCCAGCATCGACACCACCTGCACAATTTGGGACATCGAGAAGTCCGCCGTGGAGACGCAGCTGATTGCGCACGACAAAAAGGTGTACGACATCGCCTGGGGGGAAGCCAAGGTCTTCTCTTCAGTCTCCGCTCATGGGTCGGTAAGGATTTTTTTATTTGAGGAACATTCATAAAAAAAAAATTTCGAGTGATCGGAGTTGGATGGAGGCGAACGGGAGAGTAACTAAATGTGACCTGTTTTGATAATTCGATTGACCAAATTGATATTAATTTTTTTTTAGTTAATATTTTCGTATGGCCTGAACTTTGACCAAAATAAACATCCTGGCCAATCTTTTCGATCTATAACATCCTGGCCCGAACTATACACCAAAATAAACAATTTGGCCAAACCCGATATTTGACTGTTAACTTGGACGGTCAAACGCGTTGACCGTTAGTCAACGTGCCATGTCACTGCCAAATCAGCATAAAATATTTAAAATAATTCTCAATTTCCACGCGTTCCCTATTTTTAAATTATTATAAATTAAAAAAATCATCTAATACCTTAGTTAAACCAAAAATAAAAAATGAAAAAAATTAAATATTTATCAGATCTTCTGACTTGGCAGTGACGTGGCGCGTTGACCAACGGTCAACGCGTTTGACCGTCCAAGTTAACGGTCAAACATTGGGTTTGGCCAAATTGTTTATTTTGGTGTATAGTTCGGGCTAGGATGTTATAGATCGAAAAAATTGGCCAGGATGTTTATTTTGGTCAAAGTTCAGACCATACGAAAATATTAACCCATTTTTTTCTAGTGACCAAACATAACACGATTTAGTAATCTCAGTGACCAAATGCGACATTTACCCAATTTTTTAAATAATACGCAAACTACCACAGGTTGTACCAAATTATCAATTATAAATTATAATATTTGTATCCATACTAAATTACTATCACGGGTTGGCTGTTGCAGACGGAAAGGAAGGCGAAGAGGAAGTTGGCTGTTGCAGTTATGCCGATGGGGAAGTACTACTGCGATTACTGCGACAAGGAATTCCAGGACACTCCTCTCGCTCGCAAGCGTCACCTCCAGAGCTCTTCTCACTTCCGCGCCAAATCCCTCTGGTACAATTCCTTCCCGACCTCTTCCTCCGCCGCCGTTGCTCCACCGTCGGGTGTCTGCAATCGCTTCCGCAATACGGTATTCCTTCCTCCTCAATTCCTTCTTTTCGAATTCCCGTCCGTTTCTCCCCTCTTTCTAACTCCCACTCCCCCATCTTTTCCCCACAAAGGGATTCTGTCCGTACGGAGACTCTTGTAAGTACTTGCACTTGAACAACGACGACGCCGCCGCCGCTTCCCCCCATAATTCTCATTCCCCGACTGTTACTCGCGGTCAGGGTCTCGTCGCCGGTGATGGTATTGCTCCTCCGTTAGCCGTAGGTGGAAGAAGCTCTTTTGCTGGTGGGTTCCTCTTCTTTTTCTGCTGAATGAGATTGATGATTTCTTTTGCGTGGCTCTCTTAATATGGTCTGCCTTACATTTGCTTCTTCCTTGTACTGTACTAAGCAGTGCCCAATAGCATGGGAGCGTGGTGGGGTAATCTGCCTCCGTCTCTATTGCCGCCTCCTGAGGGCGGATATCCGCCTCTTCCATTTGTGGACTGGGGTTAAGTTCGTTCTTTGCAGCGCGACATTCTCGAACTTTTGGATGATGCTCCACCAGTATATTATCCCTTTTGGCCATGCTACAATAATTTCCAGGTTGCTGGTTTGGTGCACATTACACCGACATTATAACCTGCCCATTTCTTTCTTTGTTTTCCTTGCTGCAACTATCAAGTGCTCGGGCAGATTCTGTGATTAATATGTTGTAATTGGAAAGCAGAGCTATGAATTAATGATGCCAGAAGGAATGGATTGTGTGACAAAATCTTTGTGTGCTTAAATACATCTTGTTATATGAAATGAAAGGGAATATGAGCTTTCAGGTCTTTCTTCAGTCTCCTCTGGATCAGTTGCTTGTTGTGATACTGAAATTCTTCATCATTCTAATGTGCCAGCATGTCCTCCATTTTCTACATGTATCTATTAGTCTTGGTACAGACCTTTGCTATCTGTCACTGGGGCGATGAGTTATGCTTTAGTACAACAAAGAGTATGAACGCCAGACTTGCAAACAGCAGAGACATTGCAGCCAATATCGACAAGTCTGTCTCCATTCTCTCATAACTCAAGCTTCTGATTGATGCCAACCTGTCCCACACGTAAGACCCATCTGAGAATTTGGGACAGGAGCAGCCTGTTGTGTTGCAAGCCTTTGTGTTGCAGTAGAAACTGAGAGAGGTCATCATGTTCATGGCATACTGGAATGGGTTGCTCCAGTACATCCACTTATAGAACCTTATGTCCGAGAACAAAACAACCACTCCAGAAGCCGAAACCCATATTGATGTCACAATTGACACCACAAATGCTGCAAGAACTGGTGCTGGTGCTAGGAAAGTGATCATCATCCCGAAGTAGGTCACACAAAGGGTGAATATGAAGAGCACTAGCCAATATAGGAGGAACTCCCTCATGGAATCAGTTGCAATTCCTGCCATGCCATTTCCGATCCCCATAACTGCAAATGTAGCCATGAGAAAGTATGGAATCTCCCCCACTGCCCATGATATTGGATAGAATATTGGAAGGTACATTCTTGCCCTTTTCTCCCGAAAGTAGACTAACCTATCTGTTCCGAGCTGGGGAATCACGTTGTTGGCTGAGATAACACCTATGAGAATAACTTGCATGTATATGTATAGTGAACGCGAAGTAGCTCCAAAGGTGTCTTTGTATTCTACTTGATAGTATAAGGACCCCATCAATAGACCAATCACGATGCAGCCTGTCAGTCTACCAAACGTATACTGCACATTCCTCCACAAGAATCTCTGTGTTCTCAGAAGTACCAAAAGAGCTTGTGTTGAATATGGAGCAGGATAATTTGAAGGTATATCCTCTAACTTGCTGCCCTTGATTGATGTCTTTATTGTGCAGATTTCATTGTTGTTGATCTCCTGCAAAGAGCTGGATTGATAAATCTGTGCATAATCTAATGCAGGAGCTTGTGAAGCTTCTTCCATACCCAATCCAAGGGCATCCATCACAAAGCTAATTGGGCTTACTCTCCTGGAGTAATGAGGGGCATTCGGGATGGACTTAAAATATCCCAGCAGCGCTTCGCAGTGATGCCCGACAGGACCAAAGTATGCTTGATGGCCTTCTCTTGTTAGGACTAGGGCCATGTGAAAGGATGACAGAACGCGTGCATTAGGGTGTGTAAGAGATGCAATGATGACCCTTCCTGAATCTGCAACGTTAGAGAGACTATTGAGGATGCTCCAAATCCCTGCACTATCAAGGCCAGATATTGGGTCTTCAAGAAGAAGAATGCTTGGATTTGCTACCAGTTCAACTGCAATGGTAATCTTTTTGGCTATTTCGTAAGTCTTCCCTGTGTTGCCACGTAGAGAACCAACAAGTTGGTTGGCATAGGTTATCAGATTCAGTTGGCTGAGGACTAATTCAACATGAACGCGAGGATTCATGGAGTCTATTGTTTTTCCTAGGCGGAGTGCAGCACTGAATTGAAGGGATTCCCTTACTGTAAGGAATGGTTGGTGGGCATCGACATGTTCAACATATCCTACTAACCGGGAGAATGTAGCACTGGCCCTTACGTCATTTGCGTGTAAGTTGCCTTTGAGTTCCCCAATGAGAGGCACTCTACCAGCAAGGCATTTCAACAGTGTTGTCTTGCATGCTCTTGTCGCACCCATTAATGCTACCATCTGCTGGGGTTTAACAAAGCCTGTGATGTTGTTGAAAACTGATACGCTTTCTTTGGTCACTTCATTATGCCTGATTCAGTAACAATGTTTTAGTCCATAAAAAACTGATGTATGAGTTTCAAGAGTGCTGACCCAAAGATTCTCGGATAGGAGAAGTGTAAAGTGATGTGATGTACCTTGTGAAGGTCAGGCCTTCAAACAGAAGTGTAACTCTCTTGACAGGTATGCCAAGCATGTTTCCTCGTACGTCAACTCGAACTTCCTCCTTGGATATGTCATTTACCTCGTGACTTACTTCTGTCCTGTAGCTATACGAAGCATGCATGGAAGTACTGAGGTCAGTAGAGTTCTCCCTATGACTGGTGTCTGTCCCATATTCTTCTTGCTTGTCTTCTGCATATTTGCTGATGACTCGTGCATTTCTTCTCAGATGGGGCAATGACTGGCTTATTCCTCTGAATTCTATCTTCTTTAGCCCCAGCAGTGCAAAGAAATTTACCATGGCTATCCATCCCAATAGAATGGTATATGGCAGCCAGGGTCTCCCAGTATCTCCAGATAGTTCATAGAATTTCAGGTATGCTTTTCCAACTGTCATTCTTGGGAACTGATCACAGTAGGGTAGATGACCTAGGTAATCAGAACACGGATCTGTGTAGCCCTCGAGAAACTGAAGTCGGCAGAATGAAACATTGGCCCAGTGAATTGGGTTCACATGGACAAGCCATTTCCAGTAGGTTGGGATCTTTGATGGATAGATCACAAAGCCGCTGAAAAGTAGGAAGGTTGAGACTAGTAGACCTATGGAGGAAGCAAAATCAAATTAACTGTGTTTGGGAAAGATTTGATTTTAATGGAGATGGGTTAATTGGGAATTACCTGCCAAAGCGTTCCCTACTTCTGGAATCGAAGATAGAGCACTCAGGAAGAAGAACAATGATGATCCGAAGAAAGCTACCAAGAACAAAAGGGCTAAATATGTGAAGAGTGGCACTCCATTTCCTGCCAGGGATAGGCCAGCTTGAAAATAGAGACAAACAGCATATACTAGTGCCTGCAAGTAAGGGCAATGCGTAGAGGAATATAACACCATATGATGAGATCTAATGATATTTGAGTGTGAAGAAATAGTGGAATATAATATACTTCTATGAGCGTCTGTGGGATGTTGACTGTGCAATGGGCAACAATGTATGACGAAACTCTGAAGAACCTCAGTGCCTTGTGCTTGTAGAATATTGGTCTTTGGAGCATGTATAAGGGAAGTTGTACCATATTTATGAGCATTATGCTCATGGTAGTCACAAAGCCTAGAGCCCTTACTGAATTCATCTTTTGTTGGTCGTACTGACCCCCAAGTTTGTAGAATAGCGACCCAGTGAATGTTCCAAGGATGATTGCCTGTAAATTTAGGGTTAAAACCAGCTCTATTGTTTGATATCGGGATTCAGGTTACAGCTCAAATCTTGCTATGTATGAGAATAGAATTGTTTGAAAATACTTGGACAATGTAGGCAAACCTGAATGAGCCTTAATTTAATTAAAGCATGAAGCCTTTTTGTGATGTTAATTTGCCTGTTAATGAGAGTCTTCGTGGATTCCCACCAGGTTTGAACAAAGGGCCTTTGGAACTGCTCCCACTGGAGAATGTGCTTCTCTTCCTAGAAAAATAAACATAAATTTCCTGTTGAATTATTGAAAATTTATATGTGCTAGGTATCATATTTTCCTTGGTTCTTAAATGTCAGGGATTGCATGTACCTCTTCTTTTTCGCGCTCAACTTGGAGACGAATGCGGGGTCTTGTCTGCTTCAGTATGGAGTGTACATGTATGGTGCGGTCTTTCTGAACCTTCTGGTGTCCAACTGATAGATAAATCATTTCTTCTTTATTCAGTGATATTGCGGTTACCACATCCCCAACTTGCACTCTTCCTGTACTCCTGATACCCCCTAAATGTCCCACTTTCTTAGAGAGCTTGGTAACTACCAGTTCTGCAGCAACAGGATAAGTTACACTGGTTAGTTTTCAGTGGATAAAGCTTTGTACTGCTGCTAAATCACCACAACACATCTTTCTTTCCCTACAGGTATCATATGAATGTGCATGGCATGACTCCTGCGTATATGCAAAGTTATATTGATAGATCTCCTTTGTTTATACCTGTTTCTCGTCTTGGTGCTCTGTCAGTTGAGGATTGGTACTTGGCTGGTCTTTTGAGGGATAATCCAAGCCCTGGTTCGCTTTCTAGCCAGTATGTTTGCTTGACATCTTTTGAGGCAATTATTCTCATGATATCCTTATAGTGATCTGAAGCCCTGTAACAGTCCACAAGATCCTCTAGTGTATAGGGTGATGCTCCTGGTGGCACGTACTGTGAACCATTCCCTGCTGCAATATCTTCCAGGAACTCGTAGCAATCTACATGTGACGGTTTGGCATACCTATATAACCAATAGTCAAATTCAATTAGGGTTCAGTAGCTATACAATGAGGTATATGTCAACTAGCCCCTGTACTTTTTTAGAGTTTCTACTGTTGAAGTCCCTGTATTTAGAGTGTACTATTGAAGTCCTGGAGCCCCCTCTGGTAGTGTATCCCGGTCAGCAAGGTGGGCCAAAACTAACAGAAATTGAGGGTAGGAATTGATTAGGAAATACAGAAAACATGGGGGGGGGGGGGGGGGGGGCATATATTTCGGTGACTTCGACAGTAGACACCCTATAGTTGAGTGTCTGCCATTGACATCTATAGGTATACTTGACATATCACTAGGCGTAAATATGTGAGTGCTATTACATTCGACTGCACATGTATATTTTGTTACTAACCCGAGTTTGGTAAAGTAAGGGATGGCATCCTGACGAGGTCCTTGGAACAGAACTTGTCCTTCACGGAGCAATAGTACTCTGTCGAACAGATCAAACACATCTTGTGATAGTTGAGTCAGAGCCATGACTGCAGATGATTGCTGAATCCTGCTAACGGTTCTTATAGTGTCGACCAGCCTGTATGTAGCAGCCAGATCAGACCCAGAAATCGGCTGATCATATAGCATGACAGAATATGTTCCGAGAGCCAACTCAGCTGTTGTCAGCTTCTGGCGATCACTGTCAGAGGCATCTCCTGTAAGTTTGTGCTCTAAATCCTTCAACCTCAAAATCTCCAACACATACTCCAGGAATGGATCTTGCCCCTCCACCAGTGCATGTGCGAAGAATTTCCTCATCTGAGGAGTGAAGTTTTCTGGCCGAAGACCCTGAGTGCAATCCCTTGCGAACTCGAGTGTCTCGCGAACTGTAAGAAACGGGATGTGCCTGCAAAACGTTTTGTTATTGTCACCTAAATGGGATAATGATATTTCAAGGCTTCTATTCGTATTGCAGGTCATGGATAGCTTACTGGTTTGGCTGGCCGCTTATATAAGCAATCAGTCTGCTGAGACAAATCTGGGAGGCATGCTTGTCGTTATATGTGACTGCTCCCTGCACATTAACATTCTTGGACACTATGGCTCTCCCTGCTAGCACTTCAAGGAGAGTGCTCTTTCCACTTCCTGAAACAAAATCTCGCAGGTGAGTTTTCCAGTCTGGGACCTGTTACAAAATTGATTCTCTCTTACTGCTTCGAAATTTAGTTATTAGTTATTATTGGGGTGAATGTATACCTTGTGGACCAAGTAAAAGGGTCATGGATCCGGGCATGATATACCCATCAACCCCCTTGAGAACCTCGAGCCATATAAATTTCTTTGCTTGAAGAAGAGTCTTGAATGGCCCGAGAAAGCATCCAACGACCTTACTCCCAAAGGTTTCATATCTACAGGTTGGTATCTCCATTTTGCGCGAGTACTTTATGCCAGAAAACCTGACTACCTGCAAACCTGAATTTATGATTCATTCCAAAACATATATCTTGAAATGAACACGAATGAGGATCCAGTATAGGATATCAGTTTTGAGTTACCTGTTGGGGGATTGGAGGAGTGATTTTGACCATATCTCGTAGATAATTTACGAAACCGTCTCTTAACATGTACTCCATCCCAAGCAGCTCCTGACTCTCACTCTTTCTTCCCAACTCCGTCGAATACTCCTCTTCATCCTGAGCAACCACCCTGGTGGCCTCTTCTCTCAGTCCGTGTTTTTTCATGCTCTGATACATCCTCATAGCCACATGTCTTGCTGTTGTAGGGGATGCATTTTCTATCTTGTGGCGGATATCCGGTGATGCCCCACCTGAGAACAGCATCATCGGTGGCCCATTTGTCGTAGTTGGAGTGAGAGGTGTCGTGGTGCCTCCGGTTGGCAGCGTGATCATCACGGTGTCGCTAACGACTGAGATATCTTCGCTCATGAATGAAGGCCTTGTTGAATTTGGTTCGGTGAGTTCGACATCATCCCGTGCCCACCACATGAAGCTTGGAGGAGAGTCAAACAAGCGCTTTGCCATGTTTCTTTTGTCTGGAAAAAAATGTCAGAAAGTGTTTAGCAGTCTGCTGAGCGCTGCTGCCACTTTAAATGAAACCTATAGTGGGTTGGATCTTTGATGTACGAGAATAGACAGATGTGTTCGAAGTGGCAGTTGTTCTAGTACTACTACCTACTGTCTGCTGAGGCACTTGATCATTAATATTTCATTGATTTTTTGTAGGTATGCTAAGTAGGGAGATGTGGAAGATGACCTCAGGAATACTATTTCAGCGAATCCAACAGTCAAATGCAAGCTAGGAAGTCGCCAAGTGGCAGCAGAATGAAACTCTTCGATGCATGAGGACTACCAACTGCTCTTGTTGATTTTGTTTATCAGAAGTTCAGAACTCAAAGTCAGAGGAAGCTATACATTTTTCAAGAAGAGGAAGAGCTTTTGCCGGCCAGGATGAGAAGACTTGTAAAGAATTGGAAGGTGAAGAGTTGCAACATGACATCAACAGCAGCAGGCCCTTTTGGTTTGTATGGACTAAATCGTGATTAGCAGGCAGCAGAAAGTAAGTAAAGACTTGGATAACCCCACCCCATGGCATGAAGTATACGTAACTGTTAGAAACCGTCCGGCAGGTCGGACCGGAAATACTGGAGACCGAACTCCTAACGGTAGGTAGTTTTAGCGGTATATGAAACGGTTAATCAATGATATTAGTACAAAATACTCTATCACTAATTTTTTTGGCATAACTTCTGGTATGGTTTTACAATCATGGGCGTGTACGTTATTACCATTTTTGGAAGAGATCTATTTGGCAATGTTAGCTAGACAGAATCCTAGTGGCTTGAGGAAATGAAAGGGCTTCTTTTGGTTTTTAGCTAATGATCCTTTGTGATTAGAGAGACCTACGACCACCAACCCCCACGGCCGATTAGGATGAGGATTCTAAGTTTTCGCAGGTAGCCAGAGTACAATGTGCGTCCATGGCTTGACACTGTTTGTCTCTGCTTGCCCGTCTTTGGCAGCTATACTTGGCCTGGGCTGGCTGCTGAATGCTGGTTCCCCCTTATCCCAATCCTTGAGTTTGACGAAGTCGAAGGCTCTATTTTTTTCTACTAGAACTTGAGATAGAACGATTGATGGATCGAGTCTTTTACTGTGTTTGTCCAGCATGGCCTGGTTGTACGGATATGTTACTATCCGCCTTTGCTTTTCCTTGTTTTTATAGTCACTGATACGAAGGATAATTTCAATGTGATTCGATCGAGATCGAATTTCAATTAGTCTCGTTCTCTTGTTTTATATTCACCCGCTTTATTTTGGATTCGTTTTGTTGTCCTTATCTCTTATCTTTTATTTAATGATAGGTCTTTGCTGATTCATACGGGATTCCACATACGGGCATAAAAATGATATAAGAGTACATGAACTAGTGAAAAATCGAGATTGTTTTCATGGTATTGGAGCTGGTTATTTAAACCAAACTCCTCAAAATTAGCAGTGGAACTGGTGGTGATGATTGCATGGTAGTCACTAACAACAACAACGGGGGAGATGGTTCAGTTTCGTGATGGGATTGTTCTTTGCCAACAAAAGTATACCTTGGACCTTCTTCACGATAATGGTCTTTCTAGTGGGTGTCCCAATTCTTTTCTTTATTTAACAATATCACCAACTTACACGGCCGCCCGAAGCAGACTCTGCTGGTGTCCTTGAAGCAAACATCGCAACCTATTGGTGTCCTGACATCGTCTATGTCGTGAATATTTTGTCACTCTGAGTGAAGCTCTTATCTCTTAGAGGACCATGAAACAACCTTGGTTACACGATCTCCGTCGAGGCTGAGTACAAAGTCATGGCAGGTGATGTAAGTGAGGTTATCTAGCTTAGAGCTCTTCTTCGTGAGATATGTGTTGCTTCTGTTGGTCCCACAGATTTTCATTGAGATGATCAGGCGACTCTTCATATTATCGCTAATCCTGTGTTTCATGAGCGTACGAAGCACGTTGAAATGGACTGTTATTTCGGTCATATCATATCACGTCCCATGAAATTCTTCATAAGAAGGTTTCTACTCGTGATCAGCTTGTTGATCTTTTTACTAAAAATCTTCCCAATGATCGTTTTCAAGAGCTCCTGTTGAAGTTGGCATTAGTAATTTGCATGCCTCAACATGCGGGGAAGTGTTGGGGGTGTATAATTAAATGTTTTTTTTTTGGTGCAGTAAATATATTTTCATGTCTTTGTACTCCCTCAAAATAGTAATTGCTAATTACACAGGAAGAAAAGTTATTTCTTCATTAATTGCTAACTTGGACCTAAAGCCCAACTTCCCCACTACGGCACTACCCCTGAAAATCTCTTATCTTCTCTTGCTATGTTATTCATGGATCTAATGCTTTAGTTGACTCGAGAAAAAAAAGAAGAACTAACAATAATGCAGAATGAAAGGCCTTGTAGACTGTATAGGTGTTCTGAATTCTGATCCTGACCTCTGCATAATAACACTAAGACCTACATCCTAATCCTAGTTTGCTCTATCGCTTCTGCCTTCCTTCCTTCCTTGGCCCACTCTGGAAGAAAAGGATGACCGACCATGGATGGAGAGACTGAAAACAAACATAGTCGAAGTGGGCTGGTTGGTTGGTTTGCCATCATGGTCCCATCTCCCGGCCCATTTCTCACCTCCTCTTCTCCTTCGTCAACTGGTTGGTTCTCCCATTTGATACTTACCTTTCTGGAAAGAAACTAGGAAGTGTAAACTCGTTAAGGGGTGGGAAAATGATTCTGTGAACAGTTGCAATTTCTAAGCTCAAATCATCACAGTAAACTCTCACTGCATTGCTCTAACTGAGTGGTCACCACAAGGGAAGTTCACGTACAGAAGAGATCTTTCACACAAACGTGGGCAGCATCGTTGCAATGTTTTGTTTCCTTTTCCTTTCTTTTAACTTTTTCCCTCCACTACCCTCTCCAACTTGGCCTCAACACAACTGCATGCGCATCAGCAGCAGGCCTGCATACTTGGAACTTACAACTTCGCCATTCCCCTCCTACCTACATAGCTAGCTGCTATGAATTCTGTTCGTAAGTGGCATATGATGCATAATTGAATTTGAACATCTCCTAACAATTCGAGTGATTTGTACCAACTGAATGTTAACATGATATCAGAGTTTTCTATAATCGAAAGGTCTTCTGCTAGAATCTCGGTGACCCTATTTGTTAAGCTTACCATATTTGAACCTGTGGAAACTTCAAACTCGTATGAGTAGGATTTTCGTTTGAGAGGGTGTGCTAGTAAGTGGTATATGATCCATAATTGAATACCTCCCAACAACTTAAGTTATTCGGACTAACTGATTCGTTCTAATTGGTGGCTGCAACTCCCTTCTTGCTACTAGTATAAATAACCAACATGCATGACATTCCCCTTTGTAAATTACTCCCACTAACATGAAATCCCCTCTCTTTCATCTCTTGGCTTTTGCCTCCATTTCCTTCTTCGTTTTCTTCTTCTCAACCTTCCCAGTAACAACCCATTTCTCCATCACACACTCAAATCACTTGCAGGTTGTCTCCCACATCTCACTCCCACCAGAAATCCCTCCCACTGACCCTCCATCTCCATCTCCATCTCTATCTCCCTCTCCATCACCTTATGAGCCTACTGCAGTTTTCAGTGTGCTCTCTTACGGTGCAGTTGGTGATGGTGAAGCAGACGACACTTCAGCTTTCAAGATGGCATGGGACATTGCCTGCAGCCAAACAGAATCCGTGATCCTCGTAGCTCCAGCTGGTTATCGCTTCATCGTTCACTCTACTATCTTCACTGGACCTTGTCAAACTGGCCTCATTTTTCAGGTGTGTATATAAATATGATCTCCTGCTGATAAATAATAGCAGTACAAATCCTGCCTTGATTTGGATTTTATTGTTTATATGTGTTGTTTCCAATGTGACAAGAAAGATTGATGGAACCATAATGGCACCGGATGGACCGAGATCATGGCCGAAATACTCCGACAAGAGACAGTGGTTGGTGTTCTACAATGTCACAGGCATGACAATGCAGGGTGATGGTGTTGTAGATGGGAGAGGACATAAATGGTGGGAACTCCCCTGTAAGCCTCAGAAAGTAAAGCTCCAAACTTTGATATGCAGTTTATATCTTATGTACTGAAGAAAGGTTGTTAGTAAATTTCTGCTACTGACTTACTCTGGCTGAACTTAGTTTCAGGCGATTCGTGGAACAAAAGTAGCTCCTCCCCCCTGTGATAGCCCAGTTGTAAGTAGAATAGAAAAGACTTGAACTTCCCCTTTCTTCCTTCCTTACCTGGAAACTGATCTATTAGAGAAATGTGCAGGCGATAAGGTTCTTCATGAGCTCAAACCTCACAGTTCAAGGATTCAAAGTGCACAACAGTCCTCAGTTCCACTTCAGGTTCGACCAATGTCGAAATGTCGTGGTGCGAAAGCTCGACATCAACTCGCCTGCTTTGAGTCCTAATACAGATGGGATTCACATCGAAAACACCAACAACTTCATACTACAGAGTTCTCTCATCTCCAATGGTAACAAAATTGAAGCTAAGAGTTAATCACTATATTCCTATCTCTCTCAAGTTACATCCTGCAGAATTGATTCATGTTGGTCTTTCTCGTTCTCACCATTTCCAGGAGATGACTGTGTGTCCATTGGAGCAGGAAGTTATAATGTTCACATACAGAACATTAGCTGCAGCTCAGGCCACGGGATTAGGTACCAAAATTACAGTTAACCGTAGAGCAAGGCCTAAGGCTAAGCGCCAATAGATGCAAATATTCAGACATAACACCAAACTTCAGGCTTTCCATAATCGAAGTTAGGGGTAATGAACAGGATCTACTTGTACTATGGTTTAGTTTGGTGACCATTCTGTTTATATGACAGTCTCATTACAGAATGGTCACCAAACTAAACCTTAGTACTAGTAGATCATGTTCATTACATTAGGCAGCTCCTCATCTAATGCATATTCTGGTCCAATTTAGAGTCGAACCATATTGAAGACATAGGAAAGAAGATTAGTATCAGAAGTGGATTTAGAAGGATCCAATTTAATTCACTACTTTTCTTTGTTATAAGAGAATTTATACCAAGAAGACCAAATTCAGTCATATTTGATTTAGTATGATCCAATGAGTATGTCGATTCGGTTTGGTGTAAAAAAATCAATTCAACTGAATTTTTTTTTTTTTTGCAGCATTGGCAGCCTAGGGTCCCGTAACTCAAAAGCCTGTGTATCGAACATCACAGTGTCTGACTGCTTCATCCATCAGTCTCAGAACGGTGTACGAATCAAGACATGGCAAGGAGGGTACGGCTCGGTATCCCAGGTCAAGTTCCACAACATCTGGATGGAAGGTGTCCGAAACCCTGTGATCATAGACCAGTACTACTGCCTCTCCGGGAACTGCTCCAACCAGACCAGTGGAGTCTACATACATGATGTCTCTTACTCAAAGATCCGGGGCACGTACGATGTCAGGAGCCCTCCAATGCATTTGGCCTGCAGCGATTCGGTGCCCTGCAGGGACCTCAAGCTGTCGGATATAGTGTTGGTCCCCGGAGCTGCTGATGGTCGAGTAGGAGAGAAGAACCCATTCTGCTGGAATGCTTATGGAGCAAACCAGACGCTCATCGTCCCTCCTGTTTCTTGCTTGATGGGAGGGAGTCCAGATTTGATGATGGACTTGAAGGATGATCTTTGTTGACCTAACTTTAGCAACCATTTTGGATTCCAGCAAACACAAAAAGAACAAGAAAAAACACTAGGCCTTGACTTGGGAACTGGGTGCTGCCACATCTACTAAATGGCAACATTCAGTAGTATGATGTACAATCTTTCTCGGCGCAAAATAGAAATTGCAGACTACATATTCTTAGCTACTGGCTGTGGACGGTAGCAATAAGGTAGAGGAATCTCTCATAGTATATCAGGCAAGAGAGGTCTACTAAAGATGATGCAAGTTGAAAGTAGGAGCAAGCATGTAAATGTTGGTACAAAATGCAGATGAAAGAAGGGAAGGATAGTAGGGGACCAGGGAGGCCAAACTTGCACCCCTACAGTTGGGCGGCTGCCCTAAATAAGGCTTTTACCAGAAGTTGAACATACATATCGCTAAAACGGATGGATAAACTGTACGAAAGAAGCTGTACAATTTAATCCAAAGTAGAAGAGCATTCTGAATCTAGTCTCCAAAGTGGGGGTTCACTTTCTTTGTTCCTACCCTAACGAGCCACATTCATAAACATAACAGACAACTAACAGGTTTTCTGTTTTCAGTTCCTTAAAAATTGCCATTCAGAAACTAATAAGAAGGAAGGAATGCAGCTTCATCAAGACCAAGTGGAAGGAAGTGATTAACACTTAGAACAATGATCACAACACTCATCTGTTTATTGAACCATTTCCACTCTTCTTTTCTCATAAACAAGGCCAATGAGCAATACAAGCTTATAATAATGTTCATAACAACATTTGGGGCACACACATGGATGGCGAGAAACCATGTTACTACAATAGAGAAGCAAGTACCTCCAATAAGGAAGCAGCGAACTGCATCTGGGTCTCCTCGTCAATGGTTAAGAATAGAGGTACATGGACAAATAGTGATTTAGTTCCGTTCTTCTCTGCAAAGCGAAGCGAATGGTAGTAGACATAATTACAAACGAATCGGCCAGCATCATCTGAGGTCATCACTTCATAACCTTTCTTAGCCAGGGCCTTCGTGATATCCTCCACAGGAAGAGCTGTCTGCAGACAGATAGAATACAGAATTCTTTCAGCATGCAAAGGGCTTGCTAAGAATTCCAATACCACAGAAATGCTATGGTGCTGCCAAAAGAGCACTTGCATATTTATAAACTCGAGCAAAAATACCTCTCGAACTAGTGAAATCTCACCATCTGAAGGAATGATGGGTAATTTCTGCAAGACAAACATAGTTTCAAATCAATTGAAATTCACTTCCTTCGCACATTCATTGATCAAATAGTCCCATATAAAAACTAGGAGAAAGTAGTTATCAAACCTGTGGTTTCCATCCCATCTCATCAGGACATCGAAAAGTAGCTTCATTAACCGCTTGATTCTCGATCGCGAATTTTGTCGCCCCACTATTCACCCCGAAATGCACCTGCAACAGTCAATCATGTCAAACCATTAAGCTCATGTCCACTACAACAACCATACAAAGACAACACCCGGGATGACAACTAACTAACCCAGATAACTTTCCCAGAATCACAAGGATTAGAATTCTCAGAAGGTATGGCTGATTGCAATGTCTGGTAAAGAGGAGCAACTGCACCTTGTCCTGCAGTTTCAAGCACATGACAGCTCCCCAATACCAGACCTTTCGGCATCCCGTTCTTGTTCATATACTCCTGTAGGTTGCAAACAATTGTCTCCGTCGGATTCTCAGAAACTCCATGAAATTTCTTGAACCCCGTCACGTGGACTGTTACGCAGGAAGGTCCATCAGAGGCTTCAGAAGCAAGCACAGTCCCTTCTGATCCCATTAAAAGCCCAGTTCTTTGACTGTATGATGGCCAAAAGTGTTATAACTTTCTTGAGGACCTCAGTGAATATGTTAAAGCACCTGGCATCATCATTCAAAAAAAGAGGAATATCAAGCTGTAATCATATGAGAGTAATCAAACACCATAATCTAACTACCCTATTCTTCTCTTGGGACAACCCACGTCTGAACTTGATTGCCTATATCCAATTTCGGTTTCCTCCCCTCTCTTTCGCTCACAAAAGTTCCAAGATAGTGAAATTCTGATCGGAAAGAAAGCATAATAGCGGGAAAGTCTAACTGCTCAAACAATTACTGGTGGGCAAATAAAGCCAGAAAGCACTCAAATTGGGAAATCAAGAAGCTGCCCACTTTCGCATAACAGATCATCCACATAACCCACCCATGTTGCAGCAATCCAAATCCAAAGAACGAGGAAACGGGAAATTGCGAGGGAAGAGAAGATAAGCCATGGCAAGCAAAAAGGTCGGATCTTTTAACACAATTTCAAACGGGAAAGATTGGAAGGATACTAAAAAAACGCGGGTAATCATGGATGAAGGACACGGAAGAAGAAGAAGAAATTCTCAAGTAGATTGATTTACCTGTCTGTGAGAGGTTTTTCGCAGGGAAGGGAAGGAAAAGCGAAGTAGAACAGAGAGAACAAACGAAAAGGAAGAGACTTTCTTTCTCTCTGGACGAGCTACCAGTCTTATCTAATCTGCTGTGTTGTGTCGAAAAGTGTCATCGTCTGATGGCTGATTATTAATCCATTGATTAAATATGTTTAAGAAAATGAAAGGCTAGATTAATTCCTCAAGTTAATTAATTGATTGATTAATTAGGGAAAAAGGCAGATGAAGGGACAATTAACAATTATCCCTGCAAATATATGCATCCAGCCGGCGCACCATTATTGAAAAGGTCTACTCTGCTGATAAGCCCAAAGCTGCCTTTGTCAGTCTGACCCTTAAAACGTATCAAACCAAATTATTCTCTGGAGAAAAGATAGATTATTAGATGGGATGATTAAAATTACAATTTAGGAGCCTCAACTTTTATTAAAATATCATCAATAATGAAGAAAATAATAAATCGAATGAAAAATAATCGAGTAAAGATAATAAGTTTTTATAGGTCAATAGGTGTGTTCCAAATGAACTTCTTACAAGAGTGCCCAGAGAAGTTCGGTCTCTGCTATTATTTAGTATCAAGTACTGTAATGTGGGTGCTCAAATACTATATTTTTATTAATTGTGAAACTTAATTTAATTGGGGTAAAATAAATCGGGTAAGAGACACACATAACCAAACCAATTTTGTTATCTTCATCAGAAGTCAAACTATGGGGACGTTTTAACAAGCGTTGGGAATTGTTGGATCGAGCGTTGGGTTCTTTGTGATTACTAGATGCGTGTGATGATAATTTTGTAAATAAAATGTCACTGCGTTTATCCAACAGATGTTGAAGGGTCCAACACTCGATTCAATGGTTTCGACTAAAGGTGGCATATGAATTGAGTTCATGGATCAGTTGATTTGATTGATAGGTTCGTGGAATAGATCAAATGGATGGGTGGATGAAATCTATGAATCCAATTGGTATCCATATCTTGGATCATTATGATATTTTTGAAAGGTTTAGGTACTAAATTGTCAGCATAGAAAATTTTAGATACCAAAATGTAATTTTTTTAAAAAATAAATTAGGTATGAACTTGCTGCCGTCCAGCCTTGCAAATTGCAATTATTATCACCCAATTTATTTAATTTGCAAATGGGGATTGGGGGTGGGAACTGGGAATGGGCCATTGGCACACTGCACGAAAATGATTAACCATCCACCGTTTTCTATTATTAGTTGAATATATATATATATTATATGCAACATGAATCATGCAGGATATTCATCAAAAAAAAAAAAATGAATCATGCAGGATAAGGTGACATGGTGTGTTCATGGACGAGATTTTAAAGCACTCTTTCTGTTATTGATATTTTGAAAAACATTGTAAGAATTAAATAAATGTCAATATCTATAAAAGAAGGATTAGTGAATACAATTTAAAATCATCTCGTCGTGTATTAAATGACCGGATTTGTGATGGGCAAGTAAATAATTTTCATACGAGTTTTGACTTTTGCACCATCTCAACATATATCACCCGAAAATGCGAAAAATAACCTTCCAAAGAAACCAAATAGTATAACATCCCAACACTTTTAATAAAAACATGGTTTAATACACTTGTATATCCAAGACTTTCACGGTTGTGCCAATAATATCCAAATTTCCCAAAATACCACTTATATCCATGTTTTAAAGTTGTTCTTTGCCAAATCTATCTATTTCCCAATATATTTTTGGTTAAATACACTTGTACATCCAAAAACACTGTTAAAGAATGTGAAAGAATTGGATATAAGTGGTATTTCAAGAAATTTGAATATTATTGGCACAACCATGAGAGTTTTGGATATACAAGCGTATTTAACCTAAAAATATTCTCTCAAATCATTGCATTTCCTCATCTAAGTGCAATTTCTTGACTTTGTTGGGCAATTGATTTGAACCCATTTCAACCTGAAAAATGATGAATGCAATGGAATTGAGAGTAGGATACCATCATACCAATGACTCTCCCCTTTGGATCCTTCCTCCACATCTGTCTCAATAATGATTCATTGGCCTAATTTGCTTTCTTCTTCTTCTTCTTCTTCTTCTTCTTCTTTACAGCTCCTCTTCCTCTTAATCCCAACTTCCAATCATTTCTTTATTGAAAGCTTTCTTCTTCCTCCCCTTTTAGTATATGTAATTCTCTCCTAATCAATCGACCACCTCCACCTCCTGTTGTTTTATTATATAGCTTTCCATTTCTTCACAACACTCTCAAATATAACTCAACTTTATATCAAACTTGAAATGATTATATTTCTCACAGAATATAAATAAAAATAATATGATTTACGTCTAAATATAGGAAAAGACCCCACTAATACAAATTACAACAAAATAGCAGGATATCCCTGAAGGAGAAGCTGTTGATCGTTCTCTCTTCATGAAGGTCGGTGCTAGATATCCCTGGCCCTTGTTCCAGGTCGCTTGGGCCAATTGGTCCATAAATAAAAGGGTTAATATTTTCATATGGTCTGAACTTTGACCAAAATAAACATCATGGCCAATCTTTTCGATCTATAACATCTTGGCCCGAACTATACATCAAAATAAACAATTTGGCCAAACCTGATGTTTGATCGTTAACTTGGACGGTCAAACGCGTTCACTAACGGTCAATGCGCCACGTCACTGCCACATCACTGCCAAGTCAGATGATCTGATAAATATTTAATTTTTTTGTTTTTTATTTTTTGTTTAACAAAGGTATTAGATGATTTTTTAAATTTATAATAATTTAAAATTAGGGAATGTGTGGAATTGTGAATTATTTTAAATATTTTATGCTGATTTGGCAGTGACATGGCACGTTGACTAACGGTCAACGCGTTTGACCGTCCAAGTTAACGGTCAAAAGTCGGATTTGGCCAAATTGTTTATTTTGGTGTATAGTTCGGGCCAGGATGTTATAGATCGAAAAGATTGGCCAGGATGTTTATTTTGGTCAAAGTTCAGGCCATACGAAAATATTAACCCTAAATAAAACCGACCTTCAAATTAAATAAATTGGGCCATCAATGTGTGATAGAAACTGTGGCCCAGGAAGACCGCAACAGTGGATGTGGATCAGCAGCGGGTCCGGCCCAATCCCACCTAGCAAGCAGGCCAGATAAAAATTAAAAAAAGAAAAGGCGCCTTCTTAGCGCTCACTAACTACTCCGGCCAGCTGAAATCAAATTTGTCAGCTCCGTCGCTCTGACTCGCCGTTGTCTCCCAACCTCGGAACAGAAACAAATCCGATGGTGAGAACGGACAAGATTGACTATAGAGAGAACGGTGGGTTCCCTGTATTCATTCTCGGCCAAAGCAAAGCATCTTCTGTAGGTAAAGTCAATGTAGCTCTTACTAGTTCAACAAGATTCCAGTGTTGGGTTTGCAGTTAGATTAGATGCATCAAAAGTCAAAACTAAACCTGCTCTACAAGGACAGGTAAGCAAATCATATTGGAGTTTGTGAAACTAGGGCATCTCGATCTCAACTAGCTACTTGGGGGCGCTAGATTCGTACGAGCACCTCCTCCTGGATGTCATTGATGGCGACAACCATCTGTTCATGAGAAGTGATGAACTTACAGCTGCAGGTACAGGTCCAGTTGGAGCATACTATTGTGGGCTGGGCGAAACACGGTGTTCGTTGGCTTCATTCATGACTGATTGACGGCCGTTTTTCCTCAGGCTGGGGGGAAAACAGCTACTTGACTCGACTTGGCACATGATGGAGTAATTAATTGGTTGGGTCAGTTGCCATATTTTGCTGATTCTCGTCTTTTTTAAGGCTACTGGTGCAAGGTGTAACTAATCCTATCCTATCCTACCCTTTAATCTTAACGGCAGCTAGCCATATTTTGACTTGAGGGAGCATACAATGGTAGTGGCAAGTGGAAAGGGCAGCCAACTCATATCTTTCCATATATTAACATGTTTTCTTAACGGAAAAAAATAAAGGTTGTACCTCATCAACTTTATTACGAGCCATAATGTGCGCGGCTTCATTCCCCTCTTGATGAAATGAAACTCCATCGAGGCCAACCAGTCTGCTGAGTGCTGACAGACATAGCCACCCAATCTCATCACTAACCACTCCGAGCTCTAACAAGTCTGCTGCTGGCTGTTGCAAATTTGTTCACAAGCACTTGGCAATCTAAGTCCGCACATTTTCACTTGGCTATTTATGTTTACATGCTTTGGATGTAAATTGAACTAGCCAAACATATAAGTACTCACTGATCTATAGCATGAATGTCTAATGTGCTGCGCGACCTTGATGTGCGAGATAATCTGTTCGTTCGTAGTCAAGATCCAGCTTCAGTCACATAGAAGAAAGAAAGCCTTGTCTTCTAGGGAATCCATTGTTTATAGTCTTGACTTACGAGGTTCGTTAGGTGAACCAATTTGGTCCATAACTTTAGCCCCTCCCCCTCATCAAAGGTCACCAGTCACCACCTTTCTTTCCTTCCTCCTGCAAAGTCATTGTGGCATCCCATCAATTATTATGACATTTTTCATAGCTTTAATCAAATTCACAGGAAAAGTAAAAGAGTGAAAATCATAGCTTTATCTGGAAAGTGTAGCTCTAATGGACATAATTACCTGTGATACCCTTGATTTGTGGCATGATTAGGCAAATGTGACATCATTAGACATTTATCTCTGCAAAATTCAAGTCCTCCCACTAACTCTTTAATATATGTGTTTTCCCAACCTTCAATGATCGTTAATAATCCCCTGATTCAAATCAATAGACAACATCTAATCCCCACCTCCTGAAAAGCACCAACAACAAGAATACTTGATTCTTCTCTCCATGCCACACACAGAAAGCCATGAACAGCAGGTCAATTAAATAAATCAATCAATATATAAAGACTGTGGAAAATATATAAAGAAAGACTAGTAGATGGAAGAGATTCTTCAGGTGATGCAATACTTGTGACGTACCTAGCTTGGCTCATTTCACCCACTTGCCTTTGTTGGTTATCTCTACTGAGAGAAGCAAGGAGAGAAAACAACAAAAAGCAAAACAACCCTGTAATAATGAGTGAGCAACCGATCGAACCACATTATAGGACCGTGTGGAACCGATCGAATCGGATCGAAGTACAGTTCGATCTAGTTTCGATTCGCCAATTCAAAGAAATCTGCTTTCAATGTGGTTCGATTTTGGACCAAACCAGGCCATGGCCAAGCCACTACGACCCATAATTATTGTTGATTTACCTCAGTCATCATCATCTGCAGCGAGTAGAGTAGAGTCTCAGGCTCTCAACGTAGGCCCTCCCATTCCAACCCCACTCACGTGCCAAGTACTTCCAGTCACTTGACTATGATAATAATGGATTTTCCACAGGCGTGTTCCATCCAATGTGATCTCCCACCTACATAAGCTGGAGCTAGCTTCACACCGCTGGAAAGCGACTTTAGTTGCAGAGAGAGCTTGCTTCCTTCCTGTTCCTTACTCATCATGGACCAAGAGATGAAGAACAGCAACTCCTCCCCAAAACTTGCTTTGCTGGAAGCAGAACACGAAGAACGGGATGATGAGAAGATCGACAAGTTCTTCGCAATTATCAAAAGGCTGAGAGAGGCTCGCCATGGTTCTTCAAGCAGCCTGCGTCATATGGAGGCACGAAGGGCAAAGAAGGCAAAGAAGATCCAGGCTCCATGGACTCCTTCCTTCCAGCTCGAAGATTTTGCTGGACTTGCCGGTTTGAGAACAGCTGAAACCTGCACCACCACAGTAGAGCCGATAGCTTCTTCAGAGAGAGAAGTATGTGCACAGGAAGAGAAACACGAAATAGACCTCAACCTTGCCTTGTAGAGGGGTTCAAGCAGCTCTTCTTCCATTGAGGTTTGCAATAAGAAGGTGGGATTTCGTGATGTGTGTTTTGCTTCATGTATTACTATTGTAAATGTATAAGTTTCAGCGTATGCAAGCTTGGCTACTATGAGAAAACCAACTGACCTACTAAAGTAATCACTATAGCATGTTTGTAGCAGTGAGATGTGTTCTATTGTTCCTACCTAATATAACCAGTGAAAGCATCAATTTTATCTTATATTCTTTTGTAGAAATGCATGCAACTTCTCCAGCAATAACTCATGGTTATATATCTCAAAGGTGTAAGATTTATATCACAATAGCTTCTTAGGATTCTTCCTGAACTATTATGTCAAGGGACAAGGAAAGGTAAGGTCCAAAGCAGTCTTAGACAAAGCAGAAAGATTAAGTTTGCATTGAATCTTATGCAGACAAAGGCTTCATTTCATGACCTCACATACATGACCTTATGCAGTGAACATGCTCTCAACTCTACAAGCATCTAAAAGTTTTTTTGTTCAAAATGGAATTCAACATTCAAATGTGATGCATGAAATTAAAACAAGTAGGGGACGTCTTACCCAAAAATTGCATAAGCTTCGTGCTATATTGGCCTCGAGAGTCGAGACTGTTCCATGATTTCATCGAAGGATCAACAGCTTCAAGTTAAAGCGCTTACCAGTAGTCCCCACAAGAGCATGAACCATCCTTAAAATGATGGAATCTATTGGCATCTCTTGGCACAATCTCCCGCTCAGTCACTCTAGCTATCAACTTGATAGCAGCGTGGCAATCACCACATACCCAGAGGTTTTTCATGATCCTGATAGGCATACCTTTTGGCACCTTCAAGATTCCAAATGCTACAGCCAATTTCTCGCTGTGATGACGTAAGCTATGTATCTTCTCCTCCTCCTCGACATCATGCAACACAAAACTACCATCGGGGCTATATCCAGCTTCTATTATGAGCCCATCTAATTTCTCAACCATCTTCAATATCAATGCATGCTCGGGATGAGACATGATATCTCCTCCAGTGAAGACATGAACGTTTTTCTCGACTTCAATCCAGCTACACCCAGGCAACTTCGACAATGATTGTACACGCATGTTACTTCTCAATGCCGCAACGTCTCTCCATCTACCTTGGGATGAATAAATATTTGAGAGCAGGATATGATGCCCGGAATTATCAGGCTCAATCAGTAAAAGTTTTTTTGCGACAACTTCAGCCAGATCGAGCCTGTTATGGATTCTACATGCGCCTAGTAAAGCACCCCAAACACAAGCATCTGCTTCCACCGACATGTCTCGAATTTAGTTCATTGCCTCATTCAGTTTTCCTGCTCGACCAAGTAGATCAACCACACAAGAATAATGTTCAGTTTTGGGATTCACCAGATACTTTGATTTCATCGACTCGAATAATTCAATTCCTTCTTTCACCCTTCCAGTATAACTACAAGCTGACAGAACCCCAATAAAGGTGACTTCATCCGGAGGTACACCTGAAGATACCATATCATAGAACACCTGCAATGCTTCCTTTCCAAGGCCATGCTGTGCATAACCAGTAATGATAGAATTCCACATAACAGTATCTTTGAACGTAAACCGATCAAATACCAGTTTACCCTTCACAAGATCGCCACACTTTATATACATCGTGATTAAAACTGAGCAGACATAAACATCAAAATCGAACATGGATCTCACCAGCTGTGCATGCACCTCTCTGCCATGATTTAGAATTGCCAGACTACCACAAACGGAGAGAGTACTAATCATTGACGGGAAGTTTGGTCTAATTCCTTGTAGTTGCATCAACCGAAACAGACCAAGTGCTTCCAGTTCAAAACCTTTTCTCTCGTAGACCTTGATCATTGAACTCCATGGCACGTCATCTTTCTGTCATTTGATCAAATACCCATCTAGCTTCAGCCACCTGACCATCCTGTCCAAAACCCATAATCATTTCATTACAAGCAGGAGCTGATTGGACAGGCATGGCGTCAAAGAGTTCTGCAGCTTCCTCAATCCGCCCACTCCTCGTGTATCCCATCAACATTGCAGTCCATGTTACCTCATTCTTACCAGGCATTACTTCGAACAATTTCCTAGCTAAATCCACCTTGTTATGGATTACATACACATTAATCATCGTCGTCCAAGCAACGACATTTCTCTCAGGCATCTCATCAAATATCTCCCTTGCTACCTTCAACCTTCCTTCAGAACACAACCCACCAATCATACTAGTCCTCGCAACGACATCATTAACGGGCATCACATAAAACAGCTTTAAGGCTTCGTCAACACGTCCATCTTCAATCAACTCACCTATCATAACGGTCCAAGAAACAACATTCTTCACAGGCATCTGAGAAAACAAACGTTCTGCCTCCTCGATCATACCCTCCTGGACATACCCTCTGAGCATCGCAGTCCACGAAAGCACATTCCTCTCAGGCATCTTGTCCAACGCTTCCCTAGCTTCCCCAGTCATCCCATTCTTAACGTAACCGGAAATCAAGCCGTTCCAAGAAACCGTATTTCTCTCAGGCATATTATCGAACAGCTGCCGAGCCTCCCTCGGTTGGTTGTTCTGGAAGTAACCAGCCACAATTGCATTCCAAGACGACTGTTTTACCCCGCAGCGGATCGAAAACCTGACGGGCTCTATCGATTTGGCCTGTACGGGCGAAATGGGATATCTGGGAATTGGAACGAGAGAAGGGCGCAGTGAGTGCTGCGGAATAAGTTCGCCGAGGGATGAAGAGAAACCGCATTGACCGAAGCAGAGGCAAAGGAAATCACCCCAGATAATGAAGTTCGAGAAGAGGGTTTGGTGGGCAAACCGAACTTCTATGCTGTAAGAGTTAACAATCTTGAATCTCCAAATGCTGTTTCTGGGTAACGAGAACAAGCAGCCGAGACGCGGGAAGTGACGTAACAAAGACGGACAACTATGGAACTGTCGGGCGTCGGCAGCGAGGCACGGGTTGGTAATTTGGGCTTGGCCCAATACTTGTGTAGCATGTTTTGGGCCTCCACGAGCTTCATTTCTGTACCATAGGATGAGAAGCCGTGATCATAGTTTGCTTCTGCTTCAGAATCAGAAGCAAAGATTGGAATCCATAATATGCGAGGAGTAGAGTGATGGATCGACGGCGGCAGCAGGACCGCCGTATCCGAGTGCCGCCAGGATTTCTGATTCTCAGTGCTTCCCTCAGTACACCGCCTCTCTCAAGTGTAAGAACCCTCAACCCGTCTCTTCTACTTGACTAGGGATTTTTGTCCTGTGAGTGAATTCGTCAAAGATATAGAATGCGAATCCTGACAGATTTCTAGAATTAGGTCAGAAATGTGGCTGAAACTTACAGAGGCTGCAGCTCAGCTTCTCTGTTTTTATATTCAGCTTTGTAACTCGGATTACAGTTGTTTGCCATGTGTTAACTTCACATTGGCTGGGTTTAAACGGTAAACAGTGATTAACGGCTAATAGAACTAGAGCTAAACGGTGTCGCAACACCTTACATCAGATGACTACTTAATGCGAAACGTTCAACAATAGAAACGTTTCTTCTGCTCCAATCTTCAGCCGAATCCTTCTTCTTCTTCTTCTTCTCTTGTAATCCTTCTGTCATCTGGATTGCTATGAGCTAGGATTCTGTCACCCCCCTTCAAGTTGTGGAAGGTAGAATGACTCCCAACTTGACCAGCAAATCCTTAAGCCTTGTCTGCTCCAGTCCTTTGGTAAATACATCTGCAAGTTGGTTCACTGTATTAACATGCTGCAGCTTTATCAGACCCATCTTGATCCTTTCTCTAGTCACATGGATGTCAATCTCGATGTGTTTAGTCCTTTCGTGAAAGACAGGATTCTCGGCTATGTGAATTGCCGACCTGTTATCACAATAGATGGTAATTGGTAAAGGGATCTGCACACTCAACTCTTCCAACAGTCCCTTCAGCCATTGTACTTCACACACCACCATTGCTAGAGCTCTGTATTCTGCCTCAGAAGAAGATCTTGAGACAGTAGTTTGTTTCTTTGTCTTCCAGGTAAGCAATGATCTACCTAAGAAGGTACAGTAGCCAGTAGTAGACCTCCTTGTATCTGGACAACTCGCCCAATCTGAATCACAAAAACCTGTTAATTTCAACTCTGCCCCACTGTCAAAGTGAATCCCCTGCCCTGGTCCATTCTTCAAGTATCTTAGAACCCTGAAGGCTGCTTGGAGATGTTCTTCATGTGGCCTTTTCTGAAATTGACATAGCTGCTGTACAGCAAATGTCAAGTCTGGCCTGGTTATGGTAATGTAGTGCAGCCTCCCTACCAATCTTCTATATTGTTCAGAGTCTCATAGAGGTGTTCCTTGATTTGCAGACAGTCTTACCTTAGGATCAATGGGAGTATTACACCCTTTAGACTCCAGATAGCATGTTTCTTTCAGCAGCTCAAGACAGTATTTTCTCTGGCATACACTTATTCCATTAGCTGTTCTGTTAATCTCCAAACCCAAAAAGTACTTCAGTGGACCAAGTAACTTCATCTTGAACTCTTGACTCAGGACTTTCTTCACTTGCTCTATATCCTTCAATGCATCCCTCCTATGATGATATCATCTACATATATTAGCAACACTACAATCCTGCCACGAATCCACTTTGTAAATAAAGAGTAATCATAGGCAGACTGACTGAAACCATTCTTAAGTAGAAAGGTGCTCAGTCTAGCAAACCACTGTCTTGAGGCTTGCTTTAATCCATATAAGGATTTCTTAAGCCTACAGACCATCTTTTGTGGTCCATTGTATTCCAAATCCAACCCTGGTGGCAATTGCATATATACTTCTTCATGCAATTCTCCATGAAGAAAAGCATTTGACACATCCATCTGTTCCAAGTTCCAGTTCTTCACAGCTGCTATTGCTAGTAAAGCCTTAACTGTATTTATCTTAGCTACATGTGAGAAAGTGTCCAAAAAATCGATGCCATAGACCTGAGTATATCCTTTTGCTACCAACCTGGATTTGAATCTTTCTAGGGATCCATCCTGCTTCAGTTTGATTTTGTAAACCCATTTATTCCCAATTACCTTCTTCCCTTCAGGTAAAGGGACTATATCCCATGTTTGGTTCTCTTCAAGTGAATCCCATTATTCTCTCATAGCTCTTCTCCAATGCTCATGTTTGATAGCTTCCTGATAACTCAGTGGTTCTTCCTGTTGAATAATGCTCAGAGCATATATTCTGTCAACAGCATTCAAATGATCTACATTTAATGCTATAGGGTATCTGCTGGCAGATGCTGTATTACCAAAAGCCCCAAACTTTAATCAGGATCCAGCTCACAGTTATCTAGCTTTCTTGGCAAGCGATAGCTGCGTTTGGGTCTAGCTGGTGGTTCATAATCTTGTTGGGGTTCAAGTTCTGGCTCTAGTTCAACAAGTACTTCAGAATCAGTCAATCTCTCCCCCTCTTCAACCAAGACTGGCTCAGTAGACTGTGTAGGTTGAGAAGAAGAAGTGCTAGGAATGACTAAATCAGGAGGTGGGCTGGTATTAGGAAGATTTGGTTCAACAGTAGGTGAGGAATCTGGATGAGAGGTAGGTTCAGTCTTGAAGGGTAAGATAGACTCGTAAAAGACTACATCCCTGGATATCAAGACCTGGTTAGTGTGGATATCCAATAGTTTGTAGCCTTTTACACCAGGTGGTATACCCAACAAAATACATTGCTTGGACCTGGAGGCAAATTTGGTTCTACCAGATGCAGGTGTGCCAGCATAGACTAGGCATCCAAACACTCTTAGATTGCCTAGGAATGGGGGTTTGTTGTAGAGAATTTCATAGGGAGAAACATTGTGAAGAAGAGGAGTTGGTATTCTGTTAATTAGGTAAACAGAATGCAAAACACAGTCACTCCAAAACTCTATTGGAATCCCAGACTGAAATCTCAATGATCTTGCCACATTCAATATATGCTGGTGCTTACGTTCCACCCTAGCATTCTGCTCTGGTGTGTACACACACGACATTTGGTGTTCAATGCCTTCAGACATAAAGAATTCACACATGTTGAATTCCTTTCCCTGATCTGTCCTGATAATCTGAACTTTGCTATTAAACTGAGTTTTGACCAAAGAACAGAACCCTTTAAGGAGTTCTCTTACCTCACCTTTGTTTTGCATCAAATACACCCATACAGCCCGGGAACAATCATCAACCAGAGTAAGAAAGAAATTGTATCCATCATAAGACATAACTGATAAAGGTCCCCATATGTCAATATGAACAAGCTGAAATGGCCTAGCTGCATTACTTGTGCTTACAGGAAAGGGTAATCTTTTGTGTTTAGAGAAATGACAAATTGAACAATGATCTACTTTGGAATCTGTTACAGTAGGGTTACTATGGTGTAACAAACTAAGTCTATCATTGCCAGGATGCCCTAATCTCCAGTGCCACAGATCTACTTGTTGTGGAAGAAAGTTAAATGCACTGGCAGCTTGACTCTGGTATGGAACTTGGTGTGGTGATGGCTGGTTTGTGAAGGTAAGTTGATAGAGGCCTTTAAAATCTTTTGCTAAACCAATCGTCCTCTTGTTTAGAAGGTCCTGGATATGGCAAAGATCAGAGTGAAAGTGTAAGGAGATAGGGAAGTCATGTGTGAGTCTGCTTACTGACACTAGGTTGAAAGTAAAACTAGGTACCAAGAGGACATTGTACAAAAAGAGGCCAAAAGGTAGTCTAACAGTTCCTATGTGACTCACTACTACTTTGGCTGAGTTTGGAAGGTGTACAAAGACATCATGGACCATTCTATGTTCAGTAAACAGATCTAGAGAACAGACAATGTGGTCGGATGCACCTGTGTCTAGTATCCATAAACTATCAGGTTTGGAAAGATTTGAATCTATGGTGGAGGATAGAACAAATTTACCTGCATAGTTTGGGAATGAAGGTGCATACTGTGACACTGAATATGCCTGGTGGTGGATGGAAGGTGAGGTGGGAGGTGAAGGGGAAGTGGTATAGTTGCTAGGGGTTGAGCTGTTAGCTCCATAATGCAGCAAGTATCTCAGCTTGTTCAATTCTTCCGGTGTGAAACCAAGGGAAGGGTGACTTACCACAGTGTTGTCGTTGTGACAACTTGTTTCTGATGAAGACTCATTACCATTTGGACTGCCCTGAGATACTGATCCCACAAATTTGTGTCCAGCAGTCTTAGAACCACTTCCTTGCTCCTGTTCCCTGCTCTTTCTTTTGTACGTCCAGCATTCTTCAATATTGTGGTTGGTTTTCTTGCAGAATGTACAATACTTTTTCCCTTGACCCTTCTCATTAGAATCCATGGGTTTTGTATTGTCAACTTGAACTGCAAGAGCAACAGTCTGTGATTTCTTCCCTGTTCCTGAGCCATTTGCCTTAAGTTCTTGCTCATGTTGTAGCAGGTCATCCACGACATCAGCAACAGTTGGCAGTGGTTTGAGCATCAACAGCTGCTTCTTGACTCCCTCAAAATCAGGATTGAGTCCACGAAGAAACCTGATGAGTTAGTCCACTTCCTGCTTCTTGTTATATGCAGTCACAGCAGTACAAGGGTTTGGGTTTCCTGGGACACAATTACACTCCACAACTGGACTAAACTCAGTGTATTCATCCCATAAACCCTTGATCAGGGTGTAGTACTGTGTGATTGTCATAGTTCCTTGCTTACACCTGTGAATCTCATCCTCCAAGTTTGTCAATCTATTGGCATTTAACTGACCAAACCTGCGATGAAGCTCATCCCATAGTGTTTTCGCATTCTCATCACTCATAACAGATCGTTTAATATCTTTCTGTAGTGAATTCAGAATCCAAGTTACTACAGCTATATTGCAACTATCCCATAATAGGTAGCTCGGATCGTTTCTAGCTGGTATAGCCATAGATCCATCGATGAAACAAAGTTTATGCTTCATCTTGAGTGCTTTCTTCATAGATCTACTCCACATGGAGTAATTGTTTCCATCGAGCGATTCAGAAACAATGGGTTGGGTGAAGTTCTCATTAGGGTTCAAGTAAAGAGGATTACCGAAGGTGATAACACCATTGTTTCCGGTTTGGTCTCCTCCGATGGACCCGAAACGAAAACCAGTGTTGATGTTGGAGACGCCACTAGCATTTTGGGTTTCGCCGGAGTCCGGCGTCGACTCAGAACGCTGCGACATCTTGTTGCGGAAATTGGCCTAGGACGGCCACTCTGATACCATGACAGATTTCTAGAATTAGGTCAGAAATGTGGCTGAAACTTACAGAGGCTGCAGCTCAGCTTCTCTGTTTTTATATTCAGCTTTGTAACTCGGATTACAGTTGTTTGCCATGTGTTAACTTCACATTGACTGGGTTTAAACGGTAAACAGTGATTAGCGGCTAATAGAACTAGAGCTAAACGGTGTCGCAGCACCTTACATCAGATGACTACTTAATGCGAAACGTTCAACAATAGAAACGTTTCTTCTGCTCCAATCTTCAGCCGAATCCTTCTTCTTCTTCTTCTTCTCTTGTAATCCTTCTGTCATCTGGATTGCTATGAGCTAGGATTCTGTCAAATCCGGCTCCCTCCCAAATCCGGCTCAAGTTCTAGTTATCTCCTTACGGAATTGCTTCCTTTAGCTGAAATTTGGAAAGGTTAACCTTTGTTTTGATGACGACCTTGCTCTATCAACACGGTACTCACATCCAGTAATCCGCCAATGAAATTTGGTTTCTAGTAATGCTTTTTTGGCAATTGAATGAAGGTGGAGCTTGCTGATTCTGGTGAAACTACGATGCCTTCTGCTTAGCCTTATTGTGTGCCCTGTCAACTATGGATATATGCATTTGAGTGATTTGACAAATGAGTTTATCTTTGCTCTTTGGAGATTTCCTTGGTTCTTAGGGTCATTCAGAAAAGTTGTAAGATGCAGTGGGTTTGCAGTTGGATGCATCAGAACTAAACCTGTTCTACAAGGAAGCAAACCATAATGGTGTTTGTGAAACAGGGCATCTGGATCTCAACTAAATTAACAACCATGTTTTCCCTTTATAGGTATGACTGCCTTAGGATAGGGTCAGTAATCATTGGTTACTAACCTATGAATAAGTAAATCTGGATCTTTAGATTTTAGTGGACCCAGAAAATCCAGATCTAAGGGTTGTCAATTAAAGCCTTTTTATTTTCTCTAGTTTTCATAATCGGCTCTTATCTTCTTCGTTCTAACTCGAATTTCAATTTTTTTTTTTGCACACATGAAACGGGTTCATTGTGCTCTAAAAAATTAGATCAATTTTCAATATATTTCGAGAATTTTTTTTACCAACTACATACCATATGGTAACTTCTTCATTTTTAAGTCGTTTTTGAAAACGTTTGCTCAGAAGGAACGAGTTCATCATGATCTATTGGATCTACAAATTTCTGGGTGAAAAAAATACTGGACCAAAAATTACCATACTTTATCACTATGGTATGTAGGTGATAACTTGTGGTAAACAATGATGAAAGTGGTAAATGACAGTTAGTATACTCCAGTCTCCTACTATCATGTATTCAACCTTCTTACCATATTGGTATGTTCATACCATCATGATACGCTTTCTTACCATATGGTATTAAATATGAGCATACCATATGGTAATATGACTGGTAAAAAATTATTCAATTTTTTTGTACTAAAAATATATCAAAGTGGATATCATTTTAAAGAGCACATTTAATCTGATTTATCTGTGCAAAAAAATTAAATTTTGACTTAAAACGAGAGAGAAATCGTTCGTTAAAGATTAAAGGTGAAAAGATAAAAGACTTTCCAGGAGAGAGGGATAGTGATTTCATGCTGATGTGAGCGGGTTACTCATGGTTACTGTTCCCGGTATGACTGATGTTGTTGATGGGGGAGCGAATCAAGTCAGTAACTCTATGGTAAGTAACCATGAGTAACCTGTCCACATCAGTATGACATCAATAGCCTCTCTCTCCTGGAAAGTCTTTTATATTTATCTCTTAAACCTTTAACGGACGATTTCTCTCTTGTTTTAAGTTGAAATTTAATTTTTTTTGCACAAATAAATCAGATTAAATATGCTCTTCAAAATGATATCCACTTTGATATATTTTTAGTACAAGAAAAAATTGAATAATTTTTTACCAATCATTACCATATGGTATGCTCCAATTTAATACCATATGGTAAGAAAGCGTACCATGATGGTATGAACATACCAATATGGCAAGAAGGTTGAATACATGATAGTAGGAGTATATTAACTGTCATTTACGACTTTCATCATTGTTTACTACAAGTTACCACAAATTACCAATCACATACCATAGTGGTAAAGTATGGTAATTTTTGATTCAGTATTTTTTTCACCCAAAAATTTATAGATCCAATAGATCATGATGAACTCGTTCCTTCTAAGCAAACGTTTTCAAAAACGATTTAAAAACGAAGAAGTTACCATATGGTATGTAGTTGGTAAAAAAAAGTTTCTTGAAATATATTGAAAATTGATCTCATTTTGTAGAGCACAATGAACTCGTTCCATCTTTGGGAAAAAAATGAAATCCGAGTTAGAACGAAGAAGATAAAAGTCAATTAAGAAAACTAGTAAAAATAAAATGTCTTTAATTGACAACCCTTATATCTGAATTTTCTGGAACCACTTAAATGTAAAGGTCCAATTTAGTTACTTATAGGTTAGTAACCATTGGTTACTGACCCTACCCTAAGTCCTTGACGGTGACAACCATCTGTTCACGAGAAGTGATAAAATTGCAGCTCCATGGAGCATTCTGTCTCCTATTTTTTCTTACAATCTCATTATTTCTTAAATAAAAATAGTTCGTAATATATTAACCAAAATAAGGTGATGAGAGCAATTACATCTTAGAACTACAGACATACAAACAAGAAGGCCATTGCCATTGCCACTGCCATTAATTCATGCACATACAGACATTGCTCAATGCAGCAAAGACCCCTAACTACGGCAGAAGAAGTTGAAACTCAGGCGAGGAACCGAGTAAGCAGTGGAGAGCACCTTTAATGCCACAAACTCATTAGCAGCTTCAGTGTAATGGATCCCATCCCAGCTCACAGAGCGAGATCCCACACCACACACTTCACTCGCCGGCTGACCACAGGGCACCCTTATGTCATAATTATAGGGTGGCCCTCCAAACCCACAGCATGCCATCAGCGGACTAGCGAATCCTGAAATAAAAGACCAACGAGCCGCAATGATGATGACCATTTGTATATATCTAGACGAAGAAAGAGAGTTGATCAATTTGTGTCGTTCCAAGAACTTACCGTATTTGGTAGCATTGGCGATGAGATCATACTTAATGGAGTATATATCTACATAGACAATGGTGGAATCCCTTAATTGGGACCTCATCTTTTCACACGAACGACGCAGCCCCTCGTTGAAGAGCAGCGCTGCTCGGTTGTAACTGGAGATACACCCGATTGGATCGAGATCCTTGTCTTTCACCATTGAGAGCTTCTGCGGCAGGCAGCCTACTGGACCTGTGTTGTGTATCCAGAATTTCCTCCCTCCTCCGTCGTACAAAGACTGTCCATCATGCAATGCACATGAAAGAAAGATTATTAGGAGGATGATATAAGAAGTAATTGACTTGAATTATTGAGATTTGAGAGAGGTCTGTTGCGAATACTAACACACTAAAGTAACTGAAAATGATTTGTAACTGGCTGAAAACCAATCTGACCGGTTGAACCAAAAACCTAATAGATTAACAACTTCTAACAGATTAGACTCTGTTTCATAACACACTGAAACTGGATTTCTAAGCTATCTAACATTAATCTAACAGAGTCCGTCAAGATTCAAACACAAAAGCAAAGACACTTTCCATAAAAAAAGGCTCTAATTTCATCTTGAGAACCTCTGTTCACCCCAAGAACTCGAGAGTGATTTCCGAATCCAACACAAGAGATTTTATTGAAACGCATCAGAATCAACACATCTTGTTCAGAATCTATCACTCTGTCATGGACTCATTATCCAAGCCATCACTCCAAACATACACTTTCACTATGTACACATTTCTGCCAAGTATTGTTGAACAATTACCTTAACACCATCTTCAATCTGGGCAAGGACGGTGGGGATCCTTTCGGCGACTTGGGCGAAAGACATGTTCTTGGCAAAGGAATCTGCTATATCATTCTGTCCAATGTCGATCATGTAGAGCGCGTCGTGGAAGCCCTGTTGAGTAATAGGCTTGCCAAGTTGAAGGGAGCGAGCCCTGAAGTGAAGAAACTGCATTACTTGAATGTGAAGCGAGAAAGGCACGAACTTTGGAAGTGTTGAGGATCCCACAACAGCAAAGTTTGCGCCATTGGTAAAGGTCGAACCAGAAAGAGAGTCCAGGTACGGCGTCAAGAAACTAGTGTTAATGCTCTGGCCTGCAGCAGCAGCAAACATAGTAAGAGGTGTGAGATCCCACACGAGGCCAAATTCAACATCAACAACACATCACCTTATTACATCTCATTCCGGATCTAGGAGTGCTATAACTTGGTAGGTAAGTTTTTGTAACGGATTGAGAAATCGGCAATGCAAGAAAATAAAGTACACATCGATTTACATGGTTCACTAACATGATTACAGAGACTGAGAACGGATTACAACAAACTAATGTAGTGTTCTCCAATTAGTACCAATTACATGATGTAGCTGAGGAAAAATCAGCAGTTAAGCAGATTATGAGAGGGGGTCGAGAGACTTACAGAGGAAGTCGAGGACGAGGCGGCCGTCGGAGAGACGGCCGGCGGAAGCGTGGAAGAAAGAGCGGCCGTTGGGGAGGTCGATGGGGAAACCTAGGCCGGCGACGAGAGCGCCGGTGTCGGAGTTTGAATCTCCGAAGTTGAAGATCACGGGTGGGTGGGCGCTGCTGCATTGAGATTGAGAGTGAGCTGGCAGAGAAGAAGCGGCCAGAGAAATGTAGAGGAACGAGAAGAGGACGCCGCGGAGGAAGCTACTCCGACCGACCGCCATAGCAGCAAGTAATCGACTATATGATTTCACGAAGAAGAGCAAAAGTTGTGGAAAGTTCCGAAATTGGAGTGATCGTAGAGGAAGAGAGGCTGAGTGAAGTGGGAGTGTTTGATTCTGATTTCTGTGCAGTGTCTTCTCTGAGATTCGCAGCAGCGGAAGTAATGGTGGTTACTGGTGCGTGCTATGATGCCGATGGAGTTCGATCGGCGGAGGAACATTTTGTATATATTAATTAATTATTAAATTTAAAATAAATAAATTGATGGTACTGAACAGTGAAGACTGCTGTCTTCTATCTTGTCGTCTCTGAGTCTGTGACGGTGGGATTGGACAACTGGCAGGATTAGAAAATTCAATGCCGACGAAATGGGCTTTTTCATATTATTCGTCTACAAATGGGCCATCACTCAGCCCTCTATACATCGGTGGATTCTGGACTTGGATCGAGGCATCGATCATTGGCCCGTTAACCCCAATAACCGTCAATGGCAACCTATATCATCAGGGAAATGACTCGGGACACAATTTATCGAATCGCTCAGAGTCAGAGATACACATCCCTTTTGTTGGAGGAAAAATCAAAGTCTTTACTTTATCATATACATTTCATGCTCCGAGTACAAACTCAATGACTACTCACCACATTATCAGCTTTATTTCTCTAGCTATTTGCTGCATTGTAACGTTAAGTACAATACTTTTCGTTGTTAAAACAAGCTCCGACGTCCAAGTGGAAGAATGGAATCTTACTTTATCATATCCATTTCATACTTCGAGTGCAAACCCAATGACTACTCAATTGATGTACACTATCGGCTTCATTTTTGCTGCTACTTGCTGTGTTGCGACTTTACATACCGGAGTTTTAACCTTTAAAAACAAGTTCCGTCGAGGTGCCGAAATCCAGTCATTACGTTATCAAGCCAATTTCATGCTTCGAGTATAAACCCAATGTCGTCTACTCACTTGATGTACACTATCAGCTTTATTTATGCTACAGTTTGTTGCATTGCGACGTTTTGTACCATACTTTTCTCTGTTAAAACAAGCTCCGTCCAGGTGACGAAAACACGTCGCTACTTTATCAGAACCACTTCATGCTTCAAGTACAGCCCCAATGACCATTCACTTGATGTACGTGTCAAGAACTAGTTTCTCCCAATTACTCGAGTTGTTGGGAGAGGTTCAATCGTGGATCATATACCACAACACTAACAAGCCCCCTCAAACGAAAGCCACTCACAAGGGCTGGAAGTTTGCACATGTCTGAAGACAAGAATACCATGTGCTTAACAAATGGGGGTCATTGGGAATCGAACACAAGACCTCTCGGTCACAGAAGGCTCTAATACCATGTCAAGAACTAGTTGCTCCCAATAACTCGAGTTGTTGGGAGAGGTTCAATCGTGGATCATATAGCACAACACTAACAGTACGGACACTACCAGTTTTATTTCTGTTGTTATTTGTTGCGTTGCGAGGTTACATACCATACTTTTCGCTGTTAAAACGGGCTCCATTCAGGTGTCAGTAATCGGCATGCAGCCAAAGAAACTGGTAATGATTATGGGACGACGTGGGGTGGTACGTACTAAGGTTGTAACGTTAGCTTTGGCTTTTTTTGGAGGGTTTATGGGGAGGAGAGGGGATGTTCACGTGATGCTGCTGATGCATATTTTTTTGGCATGCAATCCTCACCTCCCCTTGCTCGTGCTTACTACTTCAATCTAACCTTATTTCCATATACTTGTCCTTTTGTGTGAGCTAGCCGATCGAACAACAGACGACTTGATCATGAATTTCAGGAAACTGAAAACCCAAGTATGATTAATCACCATCCCGATTAGAAACAAAGAGAGTTGTATGTAGGGTCGGTGACGGAGTCAGAAATCTGAATGATTTGAGATTAAAAATTTATGACCACAAAACTTTAATTGATGTTGGCCTAAAGCTTTTCCAATTGCTATATTTCTCAATTTTATTACAAAAATTCCATGTAATATATTACATGATTTTGAGAGTTTAGAGGGTTTTATCCTTACCTGCTTTCAACGTGGCTCCGTCACTGATTGTATGAGATATATATGATTAATTGTTGGGAAATGACTAAAAATAATGAGGTAGATGATTAGGGAAGAAGGATATCAAAGCATAAGTGCTAGCTAGTAAGTATATGGACATGTGACGAATATGTTATTCCGAAATTTCCGAAATGCGCATGCAGCAGTACGGTTACACGTCAATCATTGATAGTTGGAGAACGGTAGAATAAAATTCAAGACCTTTGCGTAGATTCAAAAACTACTTTTCAAGTAATATTGGCGTTACAATAATGAATGTGGCAAGTAAATAAACGTGCGGATTCGTGTCGCTGCAGGCACGTTGCGGAATCCGAGAGGAGACTACCGAAGACTGCACGCGAGATGTACGAAGACACACGACGTGTTCTACCATGCGATTCACGAGGTTATTTCCCGATTGGGCGACCCTCGCAGCGAGGAAAAATTAACGCATTGGATTGGTCGAAAAGAGATTCAATCCCGAATTTGGAATTGAGTAAAGTTTGAATGGTTTTAGTCATGTCCACAATAATGCACTTTCCTTGCCTATAGCTATCACCAATTGGCAGAATTGTGAAGTATACCTAGGAAGCTAGACTTTTTTGTGGAAAAAGGTTTAGGAGGGTGGATACTGAGTTTGCATGCTGTGTCTATAGGTTGCTTTAATTGGGTGCTACATAAAGAGATATGAGCAGAATTGACTGAATAAATAATTAAATAAATAAAAAATGTTGTAAACACGCAGACAAGCAAGGAAATATCAAAATGAATAATCAAGAGAACAGAAGAAATAAATTAAACTCATGGAAATTATGCATGAGCTAGGATCTTGGGGGAAATTGAAGCTCAAGAAAATTGAGTCATGCTAGATAGCCAGAAAGAGGTAGAGAGTCTTAAAAAGTTGTTTTATTTTCATATATTAGTAATAAATTTTATGTACATCAGTACATGTATTTCTAATTATGATTTGTAAGTAGAGCAGAGACCACAACTCCACTAGTATGTACAAAATGTAAACCGTATCACCTCTTTCGTTAATATTTTCTAATACCATGGATATATAACAACAACCGTTCGATCGTAAATCAAAGGGCCGAGGATCCCACCGTACGTGTAATTCCTAATCCATGCAACAGATAGCCAGATTCATATATGAACAAGAATGGCGTATGCCATAGCATCTAGCTAGATATGTTGCGAACACGTTAGTTCGTAACCACATTGATTCTATTTTACATCATACTTCCCACTTTGCGCTACGAGACAAAATGCCCCTCTAGAAAAAGAAGGGAAACAAAGATAAGATATATAGCCTACATATAGGATATTGTCGTTGATCAGAAATTAGGGTTCCTGCGCACCTCCGGTTGTTGCATGATCAAAAGAAGACTATATGCGTTGTGGCCTGTGATGATCCACATTGATTCAGTCCCAAAAATATCGTTTGGGGTTCTTGCCGTTACAAGGATTGAAAGAATTAGGAATAGACAAAACGCCTGTGGCAGCAGGACTAGTAAAATTTTCCCACATTTGGACTAAGCTAGGATTTTGTCCATTTACAGGAATTCTATCACTAACTATATCGCTTTCCAAATTCACCTAACCAATGATCATATGCATTGAATAATATATATTGGACAAACAACATTCAAATTCTACTCTATTCCGTTTCCACCTACTGGTTTATTCCGTCATTCGTAATATTATTATGTATTCCGTTTCCACCTACTGATTAGTACGCACTAATATTATTGCGTTATGTTTATATGCCTACTGCTAATTGATGAGATTTTTTTATGCAAAGTATGATTGAGGAATTTTAAATGATTAATAGATCATGTGTAACAAAGAATGGAATTAATTAATCATGCAAGGACTTATACAATTAATGATTGAGATGACATATACAAAGCTAGCTAGCATTAATTAATTCATGTACGAATATTCATCAACACATAAAGAAAGTATCTATTATTCGTATCCTATGGGGGGGTCCTTCAAATTAAATTAGTTTTAATTAACAATTAAGAAGGCAAAGGTGGTGGTGCATTATATATATTACTGGACAAATCAACAATTGCATTCAAACTCTATTCCACCAGTCAACGATTTAGTGTCCAGTACCACTTCAGTCAATCGATCATGCATAGATATATGTTCACAGATTCTTTGCACTAATTGTGACATGAAACATTGTGTGTGTATATAATACTAATCGATCAGATCATATATATACAACTAACTTGCTCATGATCTTTCTACATCAATAACAACATTAAAGATTATCAATGTATTCAAAAGAATTATATACATGTATGATTGGTCTGATCTTTCCAAACATTTTGTAAAACAAGCTAAGCTAGGAACAAATACAAAACTAATCAAACTAGCTAGCCATTAGCCATTCATAAGATCCAGTCAACAAAACAATAAAGCACCAAGTATTATTGATATCTTTGCATTATACAGTCTTGTGTTTAAGAATCAAAGTGGGGAGCTAGCTAGCAAGGAAAGCCGCGAGTGGTGTAAAGGCATAGCAAGACAAATGAGAATAAAGAGAAAAAAAAAAAAAATAAAGCATATATGGAAGAACCATAGACGAGGACGACCAAAACAATGAAAAGAGAAACAGAAAGGCATTAGGGGAGATGATCGAGCATCATCACCACCATAGCCAAAACCTCATTTGTATGCATACGACTGTACGTCTTTATTTCTGGTTTTGGGCTCTCTTTTGAACCCCCACGCAATAGCACAAGTGGGTCTTTAAACCGTTTCCTTCCCCTTTATTTCCCATGCACTGCGCTCACACAATATTACACCTAGCAAAGCAAAGCAAAGCTTCACCTACAGCCACAGCCACAGCCACAGCCAGCCATCTCATGGAAAAATTGAATATACCAAAACCCCCTCCTTTTTGTCTCTTTCCTCTCCCAACTTCTCCTATATAAACCCTCTCTCGTTTTCCTCATCTCCCCACTTGCATTTCGTAAGCCCTCTTAGTTTATATATATCGAGAGAGATCATAGTATAGTAGTAAATCCCCCCCGGCCTCGTCGTTAGAGGGGCGGGGAAGGCTAGCTAGCTATATATATATACGTTACGTACGTTTACAAGTCCCGTATATAGCTGCCTAG